ACCACGCCACCAGCGCCACGGCCTCCTCCGGCACGCCCGTGGCCACCACGGCCAGCGGCTCGCCCGCCTACGGCACGACGACCACCGGCAGCTGCGGCTACGGTCTCTTCAACCGCACGACACCGGCCGTCACGGCCGCCTACACCTATGTGCAGCTGCCCAGCAGCTTCCCGTCGATGACGAGCAGCTTCACGGTGATGGGCTGGGTGCGCACGACCGCGCCCACGCAGAGCGGCCAGCGCATCATCGCCAGGGACGACAACCAGGACGGCTGGGCGCTGAGCCTCGGCGACCCCGGCTCTGCGTCGGTGCGGTTCTTCCATCGCAGCGTGCAGCCCAGCGGCAGCGTGACGACGAGCGGCAGCAGCGGCAGCGGTGCCAGCAACGCCAACTGCAGCGGCATGCTCTGTCTGGACAGCGCGCCCATCTTTGCGGCCAACACCTGGTACTACGTCGTCGCCCTCGTCGACACCGTCAACAAGCAGGTCACGCTGCAGGTCTACAACACCAGCGGCACGCTGCTGTCCGGCGCGGTCTCGGCCTTCACCGGCACCTGGACGGCAGGCACGGGCGCGACCGTCCTCGGCGGCGAGTCCATCAACTCCAGCGAAGGCACGCAGAGCATCTTCCACTTCAACGGCAACATCGACGAGCTGCAGGTCTACACCGGCCTGCTCACCAGCACGGCCATCTCGACCCAGATGTCCCGCACGCGCAGCTGCCCGGTGCCGGCCATCTCCAGCTTCGCGATCAGCGGTACCGGCAGCGCGTCCACCTGTCTGCCGCCGACGCTGACCATCACCGCCCGCGACAGCAGCGGCGCCACGCTGACCAACTACACGGGTACCGTCAACATCAGTACCAGCACAGGCCTGGGCACCTGGTCTGCCGGCACCGGGCCGGCACCGTCGGGCACGTTGACGGCCGGCAACAACAACGGCCAGGCCAGCTACACCTTCGCGACAGGTGACGCGGGCGTTGTCAGGCTGCGGCTCACCTACGGACTGGCGCAGGCCGTCACCGTCAACGTCGTCGACAGCAGCGTGGCCAGCACGTCCACCACGTCGGCCGCCATCAACTTCAGCGACACGGCGTTCGTCTGGGACGAGGACCTGAACAACCTCGTCAGCGGCACCTTCGTGGCCGTGGCAGGCCGCAACCACGACATGCGGGTGCGGCTCATCAAGAAGGACGCCACGACCAGCAACTGCGGCGTGGCCACCGACTACACCGGCAACCGCAACCTCAAGCTCTGGCGCACCGACAACGGCGCGTCCTGGACGACGCCGAGCGTCGTCAGCCCTGCCCTCGCCACCGTGCCCACCACCCGCCCGGCCAGCAACAACCTGACGCTCGCCTTCACCGCCGGCGTCGCCACCTTCAACCTCGCGACGACCAACATCGGCAAGTACGCCTTCAGCCTCGACGACGATTCGCTGGCCTACGCTGCCGCCACGATCAGCGGCACCAGCGCCGACCTGACCGTGCGCCCCTTCACGCTTGCCGTGACCGGCCTGACCGCCGGCAGCACCAACAACCCCGGTGGCAGCGCGGCGACCGACAGTGTCTTCGCCAAGGCCGGCGCCAGCTTCTCCGGCACCGTGACGGCCTACCGCTGGGCCAGCGGCGCCGATGCCAACAACGACGGCGTGCCCGATGCCGGCGTCACGTTCGCGCAGGTCTCGGCCGGCGGCGCGGCCCAGGGCTTCAATACCAGCGTGCCGTTGACGCCGGCTGCCAGTTCGCAGACCCCTACGCTGGCCACGGGCGGCGTGCTCGGCACGCTCAGCAACAACGTCTTCAGCAGCTTCACGGCCGGCACGTCCACGGTCACCAACCTCGCCTACAGCGAGGTCGGCAGCTTCACGCTCAACACGACCGGCCTCGTCACCAACTACCTCGGCACGTCGGGGGTCAACCTCGACGCCCTCGTCTTCGCCACCAGCGGCTCACAGCAGACGCGCGTCGGCCGCTTCATCCCCGCCAGCTTCGCGCTCAGCAACAGCACGCCGACCCACCGCGCCGACCAGAGCTGCAGCACCGCGTCGACCTTTACCTACCTCGACGAGAACTTCACCTTCGGCTTCACGCTGACCGCCCAAAACGCGGCCGGCGCGCCGACGCTGAACTACTTCGGCAGCTTCGCGCGCCTGGACCTCAACACGGCGGCCAACCTGAACCTCGCCGGCATCTCCGGCACGACGATGTTCAAGACGTCGAACAGCCGCCTGGCGGTGAACACCAGCAGCGGCAGCTGGGCGGCCGGCGTGGCCAGCAACGTCTTGCTGAAGGCGGCCGCACTGCGCACCTCGACACCTGATGGTCCGTTCAGCGCCGACTTCGGCATCGTGCCCGTCGACGCCGACGGCGTGACCATGGCGTCGCTGGATCTCGACACCGACAGCCCGGCCAACGGCGTGGACCGTACCAAGGTGGGCACAATCCCTCTGCATTTCGGGCGGCTGCGTCTGCAGAATGCGATCGGGCCGGCCGGCCGCCAGCTCAACCTGGCGCTCGACGCGCAGTCCTGGAGCGGCACGGCCTACAACACCAACACCTTGGATTCCTGCACCCGCATCAATGCCACCAACCTCAGCTTCGGCAACCTGCGCAAGGCGCTGGTGGCCAGTGACGCAGCCATGGTCGGCACGTCGGTGACGGTCGCCGCCGGCAAGGGCAGCATCGCTCTGGCCGCGCCGGGCAACAGCCGCGCCGGCAGCATGGACATCGCCATCGCGCTGGACAGCGCCGGCACCGACACCTCCTGCCTGAAGAGCCAGGCGAGCTGGACGGTCGCCAAGGCCGCCACCGCCGGCGCGAACCAGGCCGCCCTGCGGGCCCCCTGGTGCGGCACCTCCTTCAGCGACCCCGGCGCCCGCGCGACCTGGGGCGCCTACCGCGGCGCTGACGGCGT